GTAAGGTCAAATCGGCGAGACTGGCCCATGATCGCCCAATGCCAACCCAGTCAAAAAAAAAAAAGCAAAGGTGATAATTATTATTTAACCGTTGGGTAATAGCTACGGGGGTGGGGCGAAGCCACCTCGAGCTGATACTGATGCTACTCTACCTTGAGTCAGGTCCCCAACGGGCCCTGTCAAAGGTGGGAAACCCTCCGCAAGGCTCACTCTCTGACCAGCCAAAGTTGCTTAGACCGGAAACGAAATCTTGATCGTCTTGGCCGTTCCTTGGCATGCTGTACAGTCCCTGGTAGCCCTAGCCCCCCCGACGACTTACTACCCAGTACTAGTAGTAGCTTCGCCCTGCAACCTTGGCTCAACAGATGATCCAAGTTCCCCCCCCCCCCCAACGTTCGGATCGATGACAAAGAAAAAGTCGAGACAAAAGGAAACCGCAAAAGCTAAACCGCTCTCCAGGAACCCGATCTGGATTTGTCATTCTTCAACCATGGGTCCCTGATTTGAAATCGTTCCTCCCATGGTACGACACGGCCCCAGTATCGGATATACCAGCCGTAGAATACATCCGAGGGAGTTCTCCGTGGTAGATCTCCGAAAGCTACCTTACCTTACTCATCTCACCTTACTCCGACCGCACTAGTTCTCCCATTCCCATTTCCATTCCATCCCAATCCCCATGAATTCGGATGTAGAGCTCGGGTCCCGCCAGGCCGATTATCGCCGACCTACTACATACTGCGCGATAAAACTGGTCTGTGTGATGATCCCCACTAAGGGGGGGGTGGATGGTGGGAAGCTGGAGCACAGCGGAACTCCACTTCACCTCTGCCTCTCTTTGTCTCTCTGTCTCATCCTCTCTGTTTTTCGTAATTTGAACCGCTTATTCGGTTCGGTCCTCTCCATCGTACTTTGGTTCCCTCGTGCTCAGTACTATTGTCAAGCATCTTACGGAGCATATCTCGTGGTCATACAACCTTATTGCCGATCCCTACCGAAACAGACCGGGGTATCCCAAAAAGGCCATTCCAGAATCCGCGTTGATCCAGTCGTTATACTACTGCCTGTCCACTGACAGGGCAGAAACAGACAGTCAAATGAAACAAAAGTAAGGCTGACAGACAGTATCTCCCACCCAACACCAACAACAGTCTAAGGAGGGGTTTGCTGTTACTATTACTATTATAACGAGGCTTATTATTATGAGATTATGACTATAACGATAACTTTTCTCCGCACGCAGATCCACGACAGTAAAAAAGCGAATCCAGTCAGCAAATGGGATACGGACGCAAAAGAGCCGCTTACCTAAATAAGGTTGGTGGCAGGTTGACCTCAAAAAGAAAAAAGGAAAAAAAAAGAGAGGGAGAGAAAAGAAAAAGCAGTGGCCGAAGCTCGGGAAGCCCGGTCGAAACAACCCTCCCTTCAACGATGTTGGTGGAGTATCGTGCGTTAGTAGCGTTAGTAGCCTAGGTACAGCACATACTTTCCACACAACCCACAATCCACAATAACTTAGTAAATCTCCAGTGCTGGCCTGCAACTTAGTAATTCAGCCTACACAGAGCTACCTGACTAGTGTACTGCAACTATTAGAAGGATCGTTTTATGGTTCCCTAAAGCCAAACTAAACCCATTGTCTCGCGTCGGCTGTCGCACGGAAATGACCGAACTTCTGCCGCCACTAACCAAACGTTATTTTGGGGGGGCGCGGTGGAAGGGAGAGGTTCGATTACCCGAGATTTGGTTTCTTGGGAATCAGTAGTCACTGTACGCGTACCATGCTCAGGTATTCCATGAGTATTGATATCGAATGATTGCCTATGTTGGGATGGACAGCAGGGGAATGCTACCTTGTCCGTGTCGGTTCATTCCGTTTCGTCTACTACTAGTTAAGGTGATACAAACGCCATCCAGAAATAAATATTCCAAAATTTAATATATATATATATATGTGTATATCTACTAGTACTAGTACTATTTTATGATTGTGAAGAGCCAGTTAGATTCTCGCCCATGGAAGAACATGTGATCTGAGCCCGCCCAGGGCTCAACCATGATAAACCATACAGTAATGGAGTACGACTTCTACTGCTCCTTCTAACCACATTTTACCTAACCAAAGACGGTATTCTCCGGCCCCGCCGACGGAGGGAACTTCTGGGTTCCATGGATTGTAAGTACTACTTACTGTACTCTTCGTCTACTACGGAAGCAACGGCTAGCTTAGGAAGCTTGCGAGGATAGCCTAGGACCATGTAACTAAGATCAACTAACTACTACCACCCTAGAGAGTGTAATAGATTATTTTTAGATGATGGCATGAGCTGGGATAACTAACACGGGGTTCGAAAATGGGGCACGAGTGATCCGCACTCCGTATTCACCCTAGATAAACTGGGAGGAAAAACTAGACAGGAAGAAAAAAAAAAAAGAAAAAAAAAAAGAAAAAACCAAAATAAAAGATAGAAAAAATAAAATAACAATTGTAGGGTTGTACGAAAGGCGCACAGTGCAGAGACAGACATGTAAGGGTGGGCCGGGTACTCCCTCCGCACCGTCGTACATACACTGGCACTTAACATAGTATACTAGTTTAATCCCTGCTCCCGTCGGTCCTAATCTAACTGACTCGTAGAGGGCTGTCATGCCTGTCGTTAATGGCTATAACATTGGTTCTCATTCCATACTCGGCCCATTCAGGGATCGCTGGATAAATGCGTGTGTCGGTTTCTTTTCTTTTTCTTTTTCTTTTTCTTTTTTTTCTACCTCGGGATTCCGTTCTTGGGTATCAGGAATGGATGGGGACTTGGGGTAAAAAGACGCAACCTCCCCCCCCCCCTCCAACCTCCGGACAGAAGGGGAATAGTTAGGGAAATCTACGCGAAATCAGCAAATAATAACCGATCAGGTCCAATTAAAGACCATGTTCATGTTTCATCCTTGGGTCCCTTCACACTGACGCCAAAAGCGAACTAGTGGCGGGTGATTAGCGGAGCGAAAAGAGGCACATCCCGAGGCCCTTGAAATTTACCGTCCATTTACCACACGCCGAAAGACGGTCCGGACTTTTCAACGTGAAGACATGCAAAGGTACATACATCCTACATAACAGAAGGGGGGCGCGAAGTATGTTCCGACGTGGAACCAAGTCAAATCCGTAGAATTGATACAGAATCTTCACGAGAGAAAAGAGCAAAGACAGAGAAGGAAAAAAGCAAACCCGATGCAGGAAAGTAAGTTAAGGCAACGCATCATAAAGTTTACTAAATATTCACCGACAGGTCTACCGGAATCTGAGCTGTGTCAAACTTTTCTTTTCTTTTCTTTACTTTTTTTTTCCTTACCCCGTTATTAATTAGATGCAGAAACGTTGAAGGAGTAATTCAACAACAATCCTTTTGCCTCCTAGACATACCTACCAGAACGATGGACGTGCATGATGGAGGTACGTACATCCATCCGAATAAGATACGACGACGGGCAATATGACTCGATGTCCCGTACATTTGTCCAGTATCTCCTGGTCTCGAATGCGGGAGGTGGTATCGTTGCTAGCACATCACTACCTATCCTGGAGCAAACATCCAATGTAGTCGGATTAATCAGAAATATACTATGATGAGTAGTTGCGCTCCATGCCGATAATCCGAAAGGATTGTCGACCACCAGGCAACACATCCAACAACCACCCTCCGACGTGATTGGGGGACCCATCACCACCGTCTTTCGTCATTCGGATGCTAGCGGTCTTGGAAATGCAACGATCCTCGGGTCCTCGGGATTTTAGCTTAGCTATGGATGTTTGTTTGGCCATCATGAACCAAGTGGCTTTGGGATCCAGAAGTTGTCCCGCACATCCTATAATGAGCCAGCCTCGTCTAATTTTCGTTTTCGTGGAGGAGAGGGAATGAGATGAGATGATGTTCCAGCGCCTAAGAACGCCATTGTCACACTCTCCCGCATCGAAGGGCAAATGCGTAGTTATTTTCTTTTGATCACTATATCCGCTCTCTTCATGACAGGTGGCCGGTTGGATAATAATAGAAAATAAACAATTATGTCCATCATTCATTTTTTATTACTATAAAAACATAACAATAAAAAAGAAACTCAACGGTTGACGGATGGAAAAAAGTCAGGGGACCCATGCCTTCCCGTCGATTCCTTGTAGACGTGCGTGCGATACAACATGTTCATCCGTGACGGGAGAGTTGCGTTAGGATGCGCCTATAGGATCTCTAGAGTTCAACTAAAAAGGAAGCTAAATACGGGCGATGCGACGTCCGACGCTGATCGAAATCTAGGGCTTACATCTGGGCTTGTGAGAGATGTGGTTTCTTTCCGAATGCATATTGGCGTTCAACATTCCGAACAGAAAAGCAAAGCGAAGAAAGAGAAGATAAACAAACAAACAGTGTCTACAGGTGCTAACGTGAAGTGACTGTCTGCGCTGCAGAGACACCCAACTCCGGTCTCAAGCGGTACACAGCGTCCTGCTAGAGCTTACCTCTCTTCTTCATCGTCGTGTCCTCGACCAGTCACCGAGCGGCTTCCGGTGGTACAACATCGCTCCAACAGTAGTCAGGAGACTTGCAAAATTTCTTTCCTCCCCTGCTCATTGGATCTCTCCCTGTTTGCTGGGGACGGACCTGGCCCAAATGGTGTATACAATGATGCAATAAATAACCCGCAACATATAGCCAAAACACCATGATCACGTTTGATTGATCGCTTCGCTTTCCACATGAACACTGAATAACATCATGATCAACAATTCATCTGCACGCTGAATTCACATTGTAATCGTCGACATCCCGTTATGCATCCAAGAAATGGGCATATGACTTCATATGTGTACACTACGGCGCAGATCCGAACAATCGGATTGCTGAACGTAGAAGGTGAAACTGAAATGAAAAAAAAAAAAAAAAAAAATGAAAATAACAAAAGGTGGCAAGAAAGGGAACAAGAGCAAAGTCCATGACCAATGTTGTCGGTTAGCCTGCTGACTTCACAGGCTCTGCCAGCTTATGCTGCTCCGCCGGCTTATCCTCGACTCCCCCGGGAGAATCATCGTCATCCTCTTCGTCGTCGCTTGAGAAGTCATCTACCGGACGACCACGTCGCTTATCTTCTTCTCGCCTCCGACGTCGCTCCTGAACATACTCACGGTAGCGAGCATCTATAAACTGTTAGTATTGGAAGCCTACGGACCTAGGATTCTTCGGGTCAAGCATACCTCGTATCTCTTGCGTCCTGACTGCATACGCTTGGATCTCCTCCTTGCTCAGCACCCGCAAGACTATCACGTAGTCCGACCGTTCCTCAAAGCGCTCACGGCCAGCTTCTAGGGCCGCGGGATTGACTAGTCGACGATCAATCTTAGTCCATCGCGCACCGGGAGGAATGCCTTTCTTGTGCGCGTCCTTCAGAGGCGCCACCCCTTCTCGTACAGGGTTTGGTTCCTCGGGGAATTTATCTGTAGGTATTTTTAAAATCCCTTTCGGCGGGGTCTCACTGTCCTTCGACACTGTAGATTCTGCCCTTTTATCTTCCTGACGATCTACCTGGATCATCTCCTTGTTGGTAGGGCTATTTTGCGGACGATGGCGTGAGTGGGACCGGCGCCGTCGAGGGCGCTCGCTGCCGCTTGCAGAATCATCAGATCTGCTAGCTTTCGGGCGCGCCGACGCCTCGCGTCTGTGTTTCCTCAGGTCCTCGTCAGAAGTGTATGCATCGGAATCGCTGTCGGCTCGGCGCCTAGACGGCCTCTGCGGTCGACTATGACGCTCTCGCGTGTCGTGATCGTAAGAGCGATGGCGCTCGGCTCGTTGAGATTCATAGTCATCATATATACCTCCTAGGACAGCCGTCCCTAGCCCAGTAGTAGTGCCTTGGGGAGCAGGCTCATTAGTGATGGAGCTCCTTGACGCACCATCACCATACGGCTGTCGACTACTCCTACTGCTGTTATGCCGTCGATGCCGATGCCGGTGACGGTGAGCATCTTCGTAATCGCTCCTGTATGAAGAGTACCCTTCATCCGCTTCTTGGTGTAGATGAACCGGATTTCGTCGCGGCATGCGCCGGTGCACACTGGCGACGTCAATGTCGCTATCAGCAGAGCCCTGTATCGGACGCCGTACCCTCGGATCCCACTCCAGTCTGTCGAAACCTCTTGTAGATGGGGGAGGCTTAGGCGATCGGGGTCCGCTTCTTGATACTAGCTGAGGATCATCAATCCCGGTCAAGCTCAGGGGCCTCTCCCTCCAGTATGAGCCCCGATCGTGGTGAATTCGCGCGGCAGAATCTTTTTCAAACTGTTCGCGAGGATTGGTATAGGAATAAGCATCATAATCGTCAATGTCCTCCCCCTTGCGAAGGCCTCCCGTAGGCGGATATCGCGAGCGTCTACTGAGATCTTGCTCCCTGTAACCACTGTGAATTATCGGTGACATAATCCCCCTCTCCTTTGGGTCCAGCCTTCCTGTATCACTGGCATAATCGATATGAGAGACGGAAAGAGGGTGCGCCGGTGGCGCCGGGGCGAAGAGGAATGCACCGGATGATGGTCATGGCTTGGAAGAGGGCTAGGAGAACGGCGGTAGTTAGATGTTATGACAGGAGGGGCTCTTGGGCCATGAAGCCGACCAGGAGCCAAATGGGTATCTGCCGCGGAGGTAGTATTACTCCGTTGCCTTGGGCGAATTTCATACTCGGTTCGCAATTTGGTTGAGTGGCCAGCATCTCGATAAGTTTTTGATGAAACCCGCTGGGCTTCTAATCCTCCCTCCCGAAAATACCGGGGGTCGTACGCTGTCACCACATATGGCCCGCTGGACGGATGGCCCGAGTATGTGGATCGACTAGCGGAGGAAGGGTCGTAAGAGGAGCTGAGCTGCACCGTTCCGGTGGAGGCTCGCATGGGATCAATAATACGTGAGCCGCTTGGAGACATGAGCCGATGGTGTGTAGTAGGGCTTATTCCAATCCCTCACAGACAATGGGAGGTACAAAATCCGATCGTGGATTGCGGAGGTGGGCAACGTTTGATTCAAAGAAAACAAAGCACTGAGATAAGCTTTGTCAATGAGACGTCTGAAGATTAAGACAGGCAAATCAGAGGTAGAGGGCATAAAGAATTTACATGAAATAGACAGAATGGGGGAGAATTCTGCAGTTTGAATGAAATCGAATCTTTTGGGCACCAGGCCAGGAAAGTCGTCGAAGAACTAAAGAAAGTTAAGGCTGAGGGGCAAAAACAGAAAAGGAGCTAGTTTCGGATGCCTGATCCTGCAGGCCACGAGTGAGACAGCACGAGCGGCAAGACAGCGATATTTATGGAAAATAGAAGATTGATAGTGGATCACAGGGGCTTTAGCAAGGAGCAAGATAATAAATCATCAATCACAACAAGGAGGTTAACAATCAGAATGGTGATTAATGGTAAAGAATCAAAAAAAAAGCATAAAAAAAAACAATAGTCTTTGGGAGTCTTGAGTGGGCTGTGACGAAAGAGGGTCCTCGACGAAGCGCACTAACAACGGTCAGAAACCATCTAATGATGGCATGGATCACCATAAAAGTGGGACACCAACCAGCTTATCTAATTCGTATAGTAGTCCAGTTGCCTCCTGTAAGAGTTGAGTAGTCGCCCCAGTAGGGCCCCCTTAATAAGAATGGTCTGATTCGCTCAATGTTTGAAGTGAGAAAAGAAGTAGTCTCCAGTATGTTGTCGACAAGTTCCCGTGGTTCCAAAGTGAGTGTGATCTACACTGTAGTTGTCGTAGTGGTGATAATAAAGTGCCAGGAAACCATGGGTGTCAGTGGCATTCCCGTTCCCTTTCCCTTGGGCGCGTTTTGCATATGTTTGCACCATCCATGGTCACGCCCCGCCGGAAGAGTGTCTTTCCTCTTCCGCAACTCAATCGCTTGACTTCGTCCAATCATTCCGATCAATGCCACCAAACATTGTGAGGAGCCTCAGGGCATGACTTGAATAAGACCGGATCACAAGGCCTCAATTTCTTCCAGTAGTTTGCATATCAGTCTCGGAACGGTGACGATGCCGGATCAAGCGGACTTCCACCTTCAGATGGCCCTTTGTCTCCACTGCCTCCTCCGCTTTTAACCGTGGTGATACCCCTAACACTAGTGGCTCCTAACAAATGAGATATCGCTGAAGCCAACGGAGCAGACTTCACATCCTCCGTCAGCGTCATCCAAAACTTTGACTTTTGATTCGGGAGGAAAGAGTCCCGTTGCCCAAGTGTCGCGGGCGAATCACCCGCTCTCCCGTATCCACCTTTTCCACCTACCGGTTGCCAAGCGATGCGTCGGCTGAACATTTGTTAGCGCACCGAGAGATGCACTGCATCCATGACATCATCCAATGGAATGTACTCCGTACTGCCACTCGGGATGTCATGTGGGTTCAGGCATACTGTACTCCGGAGTAAGATTAAGGAAGCCAAGAGTGGAGTCCGCGAATTTCTAGAAGAATACCCTCCGGCTTCTGTATGCATATATGTACGTACCGTACCTTTGCGTGTAGACAACCATCCGTATAATCAATCAACACACAATGCTAACCGATCCTCTTAGTACCCCGCAATCATGACGAAAAAAGTCTATGCATAAATTTGTGATATCGATTTGCCGGTGATTGAAGACTCCCAAGGCTGAGCTCAGCACGGGCAACCGGGCACTTCCCGTCTCAGTACCAGGACGCCCGAATGGTAGTGGAGCATCATTGACCCTCCCTTACTTGACTGTGATGATTTTCGGTAATAATATTGGGCATCGATCGCCTTGAAACAGCCTATGCTCTCCGTTACCCACACGTCCGCTTCACTTTTCTCACTTTTGGCTTTCTTGCACTTCACCGGCCGAGTGAAGAGAATGCGGGATTTCTTTTATCTTCGCCCTCATAATGTAACTCATCAGAGTGATCGGTCCTATCTGCGGCCAGGTTATGCTCTAGAGTGAACCCACATCACACACTTGACACGGGATGGCAGCATGATGAAACGCTCTATTTGGATAAAACACCTGAAGCTATTGCTAGAGGGTATGTTCGTCACATGCTGTCAAGGGGTAATTTGGGCTCTGCATATGCAACAACATCGCCCAAATGCCATAGGATTTCCTATCGAAGTTTCAAACCAAGGAGTCACAATGTTATTGTCAAGTGTTGACATTGCGCAACAGTATATATCATACACCCGCATTCGGTCTCTTCCACTGATGCGCCGCCTCTCTTAGAACGGCAAATGTCTGATGAGTGAATGAAGCTTTACAATCATAACTTGCTTCGAATAGCAAGCTCAAGTATCCAATGATGTACAATTATTTTATACTGACACTGCACAATCAGCCCCTGCCCTACTCAGCCACGGATGCGCCTTAGGGTTAGCCCATCTCAGGTCCAACATACTTAAGGCTAATGATGACGTACCTATCATGTGTCATACATCACCAGGGGTGCGCTTCATTGCCCCTGGTTTAGCAGACACTTCATCACGGAAGGTAGTAAACCTTCAACTCCTGAGGCATCGTTTGAACTCGCATTTTTATTGAGTAATGCGTACTCAGGCGCGGTCTTAGCCACACGGCACGAACCCAGGATGCTGGGGTTTGGCTGTTCTCTCTTCCTGTCTTTCAAGCAGACCAGGCGGACTCAAACAAGGTGTTGTAGTAAGGGCAAACTAGCAGAAGGACCCAGGTTTGTGCCCTGCAAAGCCCTGGTGAAGGGTCTAAAAGGGCAACAAACAGTGATTCACCTTCTTTATCTTACGATGGCATATAAGGTCAGTTCGAAACGACCGAAAACCTTTTCCTTATTTTATTCCCTCCCATCATAAATCAAACTATAACAGATCAAAAACCTACATGTTTATATAAATAGTATCAGTCTCGAAGTATTTCTGCAAGATAAGCATAATCTCCTCTCAATCGGTACTTAGCCTTTTTATAATATCTTAACTGTTTATACCTAATATACCTTAGAGCTCTAAGCCAAGCCAACAAGTACTTCGTCCAACATCGACAGCCACCCGTGCTTCTACATCGACTATGGCACGGCACACATCGTTAGCCCCCCAAAATGCCGAGGACACCTCTAGGCCTAGCATGGCTGGATGGTGGATATGCTGCTCATGTCGCTCCGAGAATAATCCCGGTTTGAGCCACGGCCGGTGCACTGTTTGCAACCACAAGGCATGTTATTGCTGCACTCCGGCATGATAAGGTGCATGCATAGGATGGCTTTGGGCTATTGTATATCATGATACCTCTTTTGTTCTTCATATTGATGGTCCATGTTGGATTCCCTTTTTTTTTTTTTTTTTTTCCACCACCTCTTCTAGGTATGCTTTCGGGTTCTATCTTTGTATAATATATATCTGCTACGATGTATGAGATCCAAATGTATAATAAGCAGGCTGATGATGATGATGATGCAATGTGACCAATTTCCTTTCGAACTGATCCAAATTAACTCCATAACTTTGATGTATTCCCCCCCCCAAAACCCCAAAAGCCAATGTTGAATAACATGACATACCCGGGATATCCTGATGTAGTTGGGAATGGCCCACGTGAGCAACCATAGCCATGGTCAGGGATATTTACCTTTCTTTGCACTGCTTTCCAAGTTCCAATCTATATGGGCCGAGATTATAGATCGCTGGTTACTCGGTATCGCGGTCCGATGTTGATCGGATGGTACTTATGTTTGCTTTGACCTCTCCTCTTCTCTGGTTCTGCCCCTCTATCTCCTTGGTTTATTTTTATCTGTTTGTATCAAGGTGCTTTGTGTGCGTTCTTTGGATGGGTTGATGGATTAGTTGGACAATAGCTAAATATCTAACGATAGAGTATAGAATCTCTAGGTGGGATGTTACTGATGTTTTGTTGATCAGATAGTATGTAAGATTGGGGGACAGGTGTGGACATCTATTTTGTTTGAAGGTTAACATTAGAGTGATGACCATTGTCTCTTTGCATGAATAGAGGGTATAAAAGTGATAACTTTTATCACTTTCACCCCTTAGCTCTGTATTGATGTGGAAGACAATCTAGTTGAGATCTACAGTTTTGGAAATGTAGAACACCTTTTCACAGTAGGCCTAGAATGAAAGATATTTTTCGCTCTTATTAATATATATGTATGTTTGTATGTGTGCTGTGTGATAACTTTGTGTGTTCAACCATGCCGGCGCTCCGTTACCAATGTTTCCAAGAAGAAAAAAGAAGAAAAAAGGGCAAAATCGTCGAAGGCTTGAACGAGGATGCAGCATTTTCCAGAATGACCAAAACTCCACATAATGATTATGATGATAATGATGATGGGTATATACCGCCGCAATGTTCCCAGTATTATTAGCCAAAATTGTATCTCAACTGTGTTGCTCAGCTCTGCTTCGTCCCCGTTTACGCTTCGATGACCTATCTGTAGGCTTGCCATCTGCAACGACAGGATCTTCAAGTCCAACCTCAGCTTTCAGTCTACGTACCACAGGCCCGAGCGCAAACGTGCTTTCCAGACTACTGTGGTCCGCACATGGGCTTTGCCTGAGAGGAAGCAACCAGTCAAGTATCGAATAACCCAAAACCTGTTGGAGGTTTTGGAAAGAAGTACCCAGGTCAAATGGGTTTTCGCCTGGGAGTGTCTGAAGAATCGCAAACACATGCTGTTCCCCTGTGGGTGGGCTTTGTTGATGCTCTGATGTAGCCTCAGCACTTGGTGGTATCGGCGGTAAAGGATAAGTTATTGTACGAAATGTCGGGGCCCATCGGGACTCAGGGTCCAGCTTGGAAAGCATATGCTTGGGCACACGTATAGCCAATGTCCAGACTGCCGACCGACGATTCAGATTCTCGATCGTCGTCAAATTATACATCGCAAGTTGTACAGAGCTAAGTGTCATTCCAAGTGTGAAGATTCCGAAAAGGCAACTCCTGTGAACCATTAGATCACTATTCAACGAGTCGACCGTAATCGCAGCTGTGTTCACTCACAATCCGATACCAACAGCCCAGTGAGGATTGACATCGCCCGTCTTGAAAAGTTAGTCGACCCAGGACAACAGTTTTACTGACAAGGTGTGCTCTTACCTCTCGTCGGAGTTCAGCTGTGAAGATCGCACAAACAATAAGAGTAAATGTGCAAAAGATGAATGTGTAAAACACAAACTGAATGAAGAATTTAAATGAGGTTTCCGAGACCACACCACCTACCCTTGTGGTAGTGAGCAACGCCATGTCTTTCCAAAAGAGGAGCATAACCTACCAAGGACAGAAGTGGTCCATCTTACGAACACACCGGTCTACTTCCCGGCAATGGTGTGCTCTGTCTGTCTTGTACTGACAACAAGTAGAACAATATATAGGCCGACCATCTGGCTGGCAGATAAAGACGTCTTTCGTATAAAAAATTTCTAACCCTTCTGCATTTGGGGGGAACGCTTTCCCTCCAGCGTTGTGGTAGATGCCCCTTTCGAGGTCTACCTCATCCGACGTGTCGGCTTTCTCAGCTGTTGCCCGCTTTCGATAGCTTTTCCTCTTTCGTTTACTGCCTCGGCGATGGGGGTTCGGCGCTTCGGTATCCTGTTGATCAGGGAGATATGAAGAGCCTCGCGGTAGGAAGCCCGGGTTCCAAATGACATTGTACAGTAGCCGAAGATATGTAATAACGAGCAGTGTGAGTAAAACGTAATATACAACAATTATGGCGATGCCAGCGCCAACTCTAGAACTGCGATTATACTTCGGTAGAGGGGCAATAAGGTAGTCGACTGTGTTCGAGGAGGTTATTAGCATCACCGTTGATTTCCAGAAAGGGGAACTGACTGCATAGTGGTTTTGTAATAGCGTAGGAGGCATAAATGACAGTACAAAGTAGCACCAGAGGTATGATCCTAGCTACCGCTAAACTGACGCGCCTGTCTGGGCGCGCCATCGGAGATTAATGGTAAAAGGGCTGTAATTGCCTCTGCATTGAGGAGTGGTAGGACGGATGAGTATCGGATTGAATCTGAACTGTATCTATACAAAAACGGGGAAACATGTATATACAGCCGCCACAGGAGGCACTATCGGTCGGGAAGTTGAAAGCCTCGGGCTAACTGTAGAAATATGGCCGATAGGGGGACGAAAGTGACGTTGTTGCTGTCCATCATCAGGAACGTGACAACCAGCTGTTGCAAACTCGTCAAACTCTATACATGACGTCGTCATGTGGTGTCACATGATGACAAGTGATTTTTTAGTTTTATCTTACAATCTACGATCTAATCAAGATCTTGGCCTGTCGCTACAATCCATACTGGATTTTTTTCGATGACCGCCCGTATACAGCCGACATAGAGAATGGCGGCTCGAGGCTCCTAGCGCGGCAACATTAGCATTACACCAATTAGCTGGTCACATTGTCCATGTGGCCAACGTCGAGAATCCTGCGGGGTGATAATATTAGTTTTGCTGTCGTTCTTTGCAAAGCTATTAAATCGCGCACTTCGAACAGGTATGCCTTTAGGAGGCTTCAAAGTTTCTGCCTATGAGTGTGTAGTAATGCGAAAAAGACGCTATCCAAGATGCGAACGTCATCCGGACGGGAATATGCGAACTTTATATGGGACATGAAACATACCATTTGGCCGGGCCTCGAGAGGTGCCTCTTATTCAATGTGGTACTGTGTAGCAGTTGAAGCCGCTGTAGCCTTGGAGAACAACGGTATGTTAACCTGTGCGGCGATCCACAGTGGATGTGAGTAATTATAAACTTCCCGCATGACGCAGGATTTAGAAGCTGCTCCAAAATAGCACTGGCCCTCCAAGTAGGTATCAACGTAAAGAAGGATCAAGATTGGTGGTCAGTATCTTTTACTTGATTGATGTGGTATGGCAGCTTCAGCAGCGAGGTCCGGACAGTAGATGCAATTTTGCAGTTCCAAAGACAGAGGGAAGGTGGGGGTGTGTGGGAGGTAGGAATGAAGGAGACAGGAACAAGAAAACAGGAACGGAAAGGAAAGAGAGAAAGAAAGACAGACAGAGACGGAGGGAGAGAGGGAAGAGGCCCTCGCAAGATGGAGAAAACAAAAAGATGAAGAGTCATTTTCCACCGAGTAATGAATCAATTTTGGTTATGCGGTCATTCTTCGTGTTGGGCGTCATCCCAGATCCGCACGTGGATTGCCTTAGGACTATAGCAGGCAGCAAACAGGGATGCCTGGCTTAGTCGGAAGCTGAAGTACGACTGCTTGACCGACAGAAACACTAGTAACTCCGCTGGTGGACTCCCATAATGGGTTAAAAATGACGGTAAGAGCCAAAAGGCTTAAGACTGCCGAAGAACATCAGTGCTGAGCTGGGCTGCCGGAGTGACCTGAGGCTCCGGGCGGTCGTTGCCTTGAATCGCAGGTACCTTGCCTAGTCTAGTCCCCATAGTTAAAAAGTGGATCCAAACACTTTGCCCGTTCAAGCATCTCATCCAGGCTATGCGTAGTCTGCGGGCACCCACTTTAGAAGCCAAGAGGGGGTAATTAACAGCACGGAATGAAAAACACCCTAGCAATAAAAAAATAATTAAATAAATCAACCAGATTAAAACTGCACAGTTACTGGAGGCATGGCGGGTATGAACGGGCAAAACCAAGTGCCCAAGCCTTGCCGGTATTCCGCCTTTTGGAAGACAACCAGCGAACCCCGAGGACAAACTGAGTCAACTTGCTGCAAGCTTGCATTTGATTCCTTTTCTAAGGCCACCAGTATACCGGAGCTATGATTCAGAATGCTGCTGAATGTCACTCAAAGAGATCTAGACACATAACGGCCCGGACCCTCAGGGCCAAAGTATTAGCCTGCCAAGCCACTTTTTCGATCTACTTGCTAAACCGCCCCTTCATTTTGCAGAAGATTACCCTTACCTGATGACTGAGGTAATATGGTTTTAGCCCCGATTGGGGCAGAGCTGTGGCCTGGGGCTTGCCTGATATGTCGAAGCCACACTATTCAGGGCGAAGACTGCCTTGTCATTGTCAGGGTGATTCATCATTCTCGTCTTCTAGTTCTATTTAAATGGAGAGATCCTCTCTCCATTTGAATCTCCATTAACAACAAACACATTGACTTCCACTTATCACTACATACATTGTTCGCCTCAGTCTATATCTATTGAGCCTTGCCCTTCATTGTCTCAAGCTACCAGACCTCTCTCAAACACAACCTCATACTCTGCAGCGTCAACATCTCTCGCCGCTACAATAATACCAACTATCCCAAACGGAACATCTGAAAACAACATAATGCCCTGCTACCACGAAATGTCGCCATTCTCTCAAGTCCCTGCTCGCATGGAGCGAAGAGACTCAGTCAGCTCTCTGGCATCAGTCTCATCTACCATGGACGACGATTCCTTGGTTTATCGGCCATCCATGTCCTATGTGAATGTGCCTGACAACTCTCTCCACAGCCTCTCTGGCCATGTTAGAACCAATGGGTACCTTTACATTTGCTGCCAGTGCAACGATGGACCCAAGCTATACACCAACCAACCTCAATGTGTCATGTGCTCCCACGTTGTCTGCTCGGACTGCCGCCCTGTCAAGTAATGATCTAGAACATTTGGACCGATTGAGGTAAGAGTTTACGGAGTGGATACTAGTGTGGCATTTCGAAGCTGACATATTTCCGCACAGTGTTCTACTTACGATACTTTTATGTCGAGACGGGATCTTACGACAGCAACGCGTTTTTGATGGCTATCTGAGCGATTTCATTATAAGCATGACACGGCAGGAACATACATGGGCGGGGGAGTCTCGGGCCTTCTTATTTTTATTTTTTGTTCTCCTTTTCGGATATGATTTTCGTGCATGAGGTGCATAGACTTGAGCGACTACAGCGTTTCGAATTTTGTGATGTTTGAGTTTTGCGATGGGCCCATGGGGCCGCTGCAAGTCAAAGTATAGCTGGACTATACTTAGTCTTGCAGCCGAAGAGTGCCTCGCGTAAGGCCGGAACTATGGATCGTGGGGCATATTGAGCCTGCTTTATTTTTCATTATATTGTTTTTGCTTAGCAGTATTATTAGACCTCCTGTTTGTATTCTATAGTGAATCAATACCTATTTCCATTACGTCTTGTGGACATTATTCCATTTTTAGGATGGTAGAGTACTAGAGTTTGATCGTGCCTCAGGTGTGACCGAGTGCCGCCTTATTGCCTAGCTACACGCCCCCTTCACCCCAAACCCTTGACGATAAAACGTCAGAACATAAAAAGACCAGGCCAATAATCCACCAGTCATCATTGATTACACATACTGTAGGGATCAATAAATAGATTCAGACATTTGCCACCTGTCATCCGTACCGCGTTCTCAAACTGACAGGGTAAAAATCCCATACATAACACGTGTGGTCGATCCGCCCCCAAACCAAAACGAACCAGCAACCCCGTATTGATTTTCGCAGCTGAGACCATGGGCAAGCTCGAGGCTGACTTCTGGTAGGTTAATATTCCGAGCCTCAAGTCTTGGTCCACCAGTCAGACTTGCGAAATACCTGCAGATCATGCAAGCCACTTGCTGGGTTTCCTTTTTGGCTTTCCCATCCCAAATGATCCCACCGCCCTTTCTGCCGGTCACTGAGTGCATTTAGCCCTATGCTGGTAAGGAAACTGGCGGTCTTGGGGCGTTTTTTGGCCCTGATTCTCATGTTTGACGATTATTTTCCCGCTCTTTCGGGTTCTGCATGTCCAGCTCTGATGACTCTTATCTCGTAGATCTCTATTCCTTCTATTCCTTTGTTTACCGGTCCATTCCCTCCATACGAAGTGGCCCTTCAGATGACTGAGAGGCTGTGTTCGTGATTTTCTTTCATTCTTGTCGCGGTCGAGGTAGTACAAGGGAGCCCATCGAGGCACCAACAGATCGAAGAACCGGGCATACGATCGCGTGCAAAAAGGAATTCCAAGACATCTAATAATAAAACCGTAACCTATAGTATCCATTTAATTTAGAAATTTACTAAGCCATCATCGCGTCTCGACCAAATCAAGTGTCCGCCCGCTAGGATGGGTCTCCATATGGAGGGTGTAAGACGGCACCCGTTCTTCCCACCCCACTTCCCTGTATCTACGAAGTGTCGGACGGCATCAGAAACCCGTCAGGGAAAAAAAAAAAAAAAAAGCCACATGGTGTAATCTTGGCATGATATCACTGCTATAATTATGTCTATCTTCTTAAAGATAATACGAACTCACCACAGTCTATGTGAACTCCCTTTCTGCTTCTTTGTTTTGCGGAAGTTCTGTATGACGATCTGCTATTTCGGGACCTGTCAGATTCTCACTCAGAGCTTGCATTCCACCAGATTCTGTTGCGCAGTGCTACAAAAATAAACCTGGGGGTTACATTGCGCTTCAAATGAGGACATGTAATGGAAGTTCGCTCTATCGGGGTCGGCTTCCAGGGATCGATTAAGACATACATAGTTATTATACAATCATGCATGGCCCCAGTTTGGTGTGTCAACCAAAACAAATACGTTAATTACATCCGATAACCCCGATCCTATAACACTCATCGTAGTACGGAGTACTACATATACTAGTACATAGATCAATACCCTACAGCGATACCATCACCTTGATAATATCCCCATTCTTGATTATTCTCCATCTCCGCTCCAGGTTGATTTATAAGACGTCCAACCGTTGTCCCAAGTATGAGATCCAGTAATCCTAGCACATTACTAGTAGTAACCATAACATATACAACCCCCCGGGTCGCTTGATAATCCAGAAATCTAAGCTGAGAGGAAATATTTCTAAGCAACAGCATTTGCGTTTCAGCCTTAAACAAAAGTACCCACGCTAGTAGCTACCCAGGTACTTGGTTTGTGTTTTTTTAAATCTGACTTGCCTTAACAGACGCCCAGTAGGCCGTTTGATTTTAGTTTCATCCACTCGGCCGGATCAGAACGAAGGTCACTTGCTCACCCCTCCTTCAGCTCCCAGATCACCTGCATGCCCTTACTGTTGGACTTGTTTCAAGAATTTATCGTCTGTTTGTTTCGTTGTTGTTGGTAACACCAACAACTAAGGCCACGGTATGGAAGGCATACTTACATCTGCTTCTATCAGAATGTTCCGCGGTTGCGATCATCGTAATTGCTATACATAGATGGTGTGTCTTTGGATGGCTTTTGGACATTTGTTTTACCTGTTTGTTCTATTATTATTAGTCTTACTTATTATTTATTCATTTTGCTTTTTTTCTTTTTTTCTTTTTTTCTTTTCTTTTCTTTTCTTTTCTTTTCTTTTCTCCCTCATCTTTTTTTAATATATTTACTTATTTTTTTTAGGTCTATGCTTTTTCGCTCCCCATTCCGAGATATGGAGTTGTGGACTCTGATTGGAGGTCTCGTAAACCAGGAACTACACAGCCCCCAGATGTTGAGGCCGGGGTTACTAAGAGAGTCTAGTATCGTAGTGTATAGTTAGTGCTAGCAGTATAGGTGATGTAACTTAACTTCATGCATGCCTGAGTCAGAAGGTCACAGGATTTCTGATGAGTCAGTCTTCTGAGCAAGAATCGCTGTGACTCAATCTGTTTTGTTTCCGAGTCGAGTTCGATAGTAGAGGCACTATCTTTTCTTACTGGGTTGTGATGGTTGTGATGAGCGTGCAGGATATCCTTCGGCCTCCGCTGCTACGACTCCGTGGGGCCTGAGGTCACGGGTAAATTGCGACGTCGGGGCCATTCGGGGTGACTATCGGAGCCTCGGCCAATCAAAGCCACGAACTAGACGCCCGTCTGCGCCTTGGGGTTCGTCGGTCTTAGGCGCTAGACGCCCCGTCCCACACCGTACGCAAATCAAGTATAACTAAGAGGTAAAAAAAAAGGAGATTAGATTTAAATCAATCACTGCGGTATTGTTCATTTGTTTATTGCTATGTACTCCTATGATCCGAACGCCCGGCTGTACAATCGCATTCTTCGACTCCTTAAGGACGTGACGCCCGACCCATGTCTGTCTAGAACAGGCGAGGCTGGTTTAACAATAAGCAGTCCTCGTTCTCACCGGGCCGTCTTATGGCCTATTGTTTGCTGTCGGGGCGTGGGTGGAATAGCCTACGCCCACCTCCTTCAAAGGAGAAAGAGGAAATATGTTATATCCTCACCGAATCCACACACCGTTTCTAACCCAAATAGTCATAGATCGAAGCGGTATAATAATGAGTACCCACTGGAATGAGCCAAAAGGAGACATTGGATGCCGAATCTGTTAGAAAAGGCGGAAAGCTGGACCTGCTAATATAACAAGGCTGGGAAATAACGTTTTCTGATAACTCAGAAAGGGAAAGCAAAGACGCGGGTATCAAGGTAGTATTGGGAAGAAAGCTGCTACTGGTATAACCAGTATGAAGGAAGAGACTTCCATGTCTAGATGGTCTGACGTTTTTGCACGGGTATGTGCTTTGCCTAGTTTGAATCGGCAATGCTCAGAATATATCGGTAGCTCACCTTAAGAGGAGAAGAGCTCCCACCAATGTGAATAATCGGGTATTGTAGGTAAAAGGTTGTTACAAGGGTAAGACTCGTGAAGGATCCTGGAGGAAGCGTCTACGGTATGCGGCTATCTCCGTGGCCACAGTGTTAAAATCTTTCACCTTGTCGCGCCGCATGTCGTTGATGATGTTTTTCAAACCAGCAATGTAGTTGTCTTTTTCTTCTGGCGTTTTTCCCTCTCGAAGAGATCCCATCTGTACAAGGATTTTGTCATCTGTCGATGTTAATAACCCTGTGTGTCAGCATCCGCACAATGCAAAAGCGACCACAGCTGGCAAAAAGAAGAGTGTAAGATGGCTGAAGGGTGCAGAGAGCCGGGGGGAAAGTGCTGGAAGGAAAGCCAATGTTCAAACAACAAAATAAATGCGCGAGGCACGACAAATGATTATAAGTCATGGCATATGGGGATGTGTTGCGTGTAGTTTGCTCAAGTCTGTCGACGCACCGCTAAGAGTCATATCACGAAAATGTTGAAATTCACAGGACCGGTCATTGCAGACACCGCCTGCCCCTTCAAAAGGACAGATGTACACCATAGGGTCAATATTGTGGCTATAGGTTAGGGAACGATAGCCACCCGTAACCTCATCAGTGTATTTTGGATGGTAGCGGAAAGCCTTGAAAGATTTCAATGGACTAATGTAAGGCGAGAACATATGGTCTGAAACTCCCGGCTGTCGAGCATTCTATAAAAGGTGCGTCAGCCTTCAATTCTCTGCCGAAACAAGAGATTCTCGCACATCCAGAAGGCCAACCTGATTGTTCCCGAATTGTGAGACGCCCGATCCGTGCACATCTCCAACCGGTAGCTCACTAGCAGTGTTCTGCGGTTTGTGCACTGGGGAACTAGGAACGGTGGGCTCAACAGGGCCAGGAGAAGCTGGACTAAAGGGGGTGAGTAAACCGAGTCAGCTGGGCTTGCATTTCCTTCCGGTTCTGGGGGCTCATAGGCCTCTGAAACCATAGATTTATCAGAAGCCTGATCTTCAGTCATTTCAATATCTTGTTCACTAGACCTTGAAAACATGTCAGATTGGTCTGTCGCGTTCGTGGCTTGAGGTTGGCCTGGTAGGGGATCATGATGCCCTTCGCTCAACGGACTTGGTTCCACTTGGTTAATCTGTTCTACACCGTCCGAGACCTCTGACATAGGGATGTCCGGCACAGGAGAATGGGCGTTGGATTCTTCTTGCTCAGCGGATGTAGATTCGTCACTAACGTCATCACTGTCGTCGCTATCTTCATCACTAGATTCATCCATAGATGACCCTGTGGAATCGGAGGAAGACGTTGGTGTTGATTCCCTACTTGCTTCAGATACGTCATGTTGGCCCGCAGTGATATCGGACGGAAGTGATGGTTTGGCTGTATCGGCTGAGGCATCGACGGATGGCTCCTCAATAGAACCCTTTTGTTCTTGAAGCTGGGTCGTAACTTGGGAGCCACTTGATATTCCGACGTCTTTATCATCTGGCGAATTTGGTTGCAGATCTTGGGCTATATGGAGGCATTTGAGGTAGTGTAAGCCAAGACAGACAATGCTATAGAAAAGAAAAGCTCTTGCCAGGAAGGAAGAGTAATAGGCAGACAGACATACCTTCATTTGCGGGTTCCTGCATGGTTGTTAGCCTTCCTAGGGCTGATTCCACCTCTTCCAATGACACTCCGTCGAGCTCTATGTTAAGATTGCTTAGTTCCTCTAAGAGTTGCTGTCGACCCTCTCTTCCCCTCGTGATATCTAACAGAAGCTTCTCCTGTTCGAGATTGAATCGCGCTAGCCTTGTCTCAGACCTTTCTATTTCTGCGTCCAAGGCAGGAACCCCGGATTCAATCTCTTTTTTCCGCAACACTTTCAACTTCATGTCGTTCAGTTGCTCGGCGTCCATGGAGCCCAAACGGCATGAAAGGCCGTTTGAAGTAGGATGATGGCTAGGGGTGGATGATGTACTTTCTGGCAAAGCGTCCATGGTCTCCACTTGCGAAGAATTGTACCCAGCGGGAACTGGTGCAGCCCGTGTGGGTGTCTCACGAGCTTCAGTATCAGTTGGCACGGATGTTTCAGGAGGCGATGATTCCGAGTCCGCCGCACGAGGGGACTGAGTACGACTGGCAGCTAATTTTGCTCTCTTGCGGTTTTCCAGCTCAGCAATCCGCCTGTGCATTGCTTGTATTTCAAGGTCTTTCCTACGGAGGTCTTCTTGATCATTGTTCCTTGGAAATTGTGGGGTCGCAGACAACGACAACCCTTGACTTGACGATGTCACGGGTCTCGGCGGGAGGGACTCCGCAAGAAGATAGGTCCTTGCTTGGCCTTCGGGGACTGAATGAACATCATTTTCTTGGAAAGTCTCAATATCCATAGCATCGTCTTCGTCATCCCCATATAGATCATCATCGCTGATGTCAATGACAAGCCTATCGCCTGAGACACTATTATTCACTCCATTGTTAGAAGTATTCCTAGGCAAAGGAACAGGCTCGTCAAAATCAGATGCTCGCGGGCGCTTGCGTTGATTAAAGCGAGGCTGCGGGGTGGAATCAACTAGAAGCCCTTGGGTAGGCGTCGTTGATGGGTCGTCATGTGACGCCTGAGCTACTTCAGTCATGAACAATCCAGGGATGCGTGCAAAAGCACCTGTTTCAGGATCAGGGGGACGCTCAGGAAGGGGGTGTTGTATTGATGATGAGTTCAAGGTTGGTGTAAGATCGCGAGTTGATTTCATGTTCGGCTGGTCATTACTTGGAGATACGTCGCCTGAGGTTGACTTTTGCTGTAGTCTCATTAGGCCCTGCTTCTTGAGTTGCTCGATTCGTTGCCTAGCCAACTCCGTTTGTGCTTTATTCTTTTCCCTGACGCGAACCTCCTTTTCTTGTACGGGTACTTCTGTGGCAACGCTGGTGTCACCAACCTTGACAGCATCTGTAGTCGAGCTGTCCGATGTCTGTGCTTCTTTAGTCACGTCCCCTGAAGGTGATGTTGGTGCTCCCGTAGACTTGGCAGCCTTTGCAGCCAGCATACGTGCAATGACCTCTTTACGTTCCATGGGTTTTGCAGCACATGGCTGAGATGGAGGGGTGGATGTTGGCGCGTTTTCCACTAATCCAGTGGAGTGCGTGACATTGTCCACCCTTACGGCTTCTGCTGCGGGTTTCTCCCCTGGTCCAGCAGTTTCTATCGAAGCTGCGAGATCTCTGAAAGAATGATCGCGCGGTGTTGAAGCTAGTGAGGATTCTTGAGTTGATATAGTATCCGGCTGCGGCGTGGGGACCTTGATCCCCACTTCTTCGTAAAGTTGCCTTAGTACCATTGGATTGATACCTTCCCCAACGAGCTCACCGTATCGAATATTATGAGGAGCTAAACTAAGAAGGGCACCCTGCGCCTGTACTCGCAGCTGCGCAGGAGACTTTCCACAGTTGGATATCACTTGTGGGTCTGTTGTAGGCGGGGAAAACACGGACTTCGCAGATAGGTCTTGATCGATCGGTTTCGGAGTAGCTTCGTCGGCTATTCTACCTGCGGGGACAAACGGCTCGACATTGACTGACATTGGGGGGTTGTATGCTGTGAAATGTCAGTTTATTGTAGCGGGAAAGTAGTACTAGGGTGAGTTACGGGATCCACTGTCTCGGCTGAACGAGTTTGAACTAGTTGAAGAAGCTTCACCCTCCTCGACCTCCGATGACACACATCGAGAGCCTTTCGGCACATGGCCATTGCAGTTCGTTTTGTTCGCCCAATCTCCTTTCCCATTTACCATTTGGAGAGTAGTGCTTTGTCGTGGTCCCGGTTTGGAAGACGGGGGGCTGGTACTATGGCGCGACTCTATTCCTTGTTGCGAACAGTCCCCTTCCCTATCAGTAAGTTCACCTTCCTCTCGTTCCAAATCCTCCTTGGGGGCTGATGAGGTCATGACCTGCGGATGATTATTAGTCACGGAGCCCGAATTGGGTTGAAAGTCACTCGTCAGAGGGCGGCCAGGAGGTGTATTTATAGGCGCAGTAGAGACTGGCATTGGCGGGTATCTCAACGGCGGCATTTGCATAGGAGGGAAGGGAGGGGGAGGAAATTGCGAATGGGCAAAATTGCCCATGAAAGGGAAAGGAGGTGGTGGCAATGATCCAGACGGTCCAGAAGCTCCTAGTCCGGGGAGAGAATTTGCGGCGAAATTCACATCATTATAGTCGAGCGGATACCGAGTACCATCCTGTGACTGTTGATATACAGGCATTTGATTTTGATTGAAAGGAAAAGGACGAGGAAGGGAAGGGGTAAGAGAATTTGTTGTAGAAGGATTTGATGGCCACTGTTGCGTGTAATTGGAAGGTCTGCCCAAGGAGGACGTTGGGGTTTGGTAAGTCATTGTACAGTAATCAACTGAATGAGTACCTTCAAGGTCAAATGTGAGATTTGCTGGAAGATGTGAGTAGCAGGTTAATTGTCGCGACTTTAGGCGTCACACATCATCAGGCTGCGATGAGTAGAATTCTGTGAAATGCACCTAACTGATGAAGGTAGAAGTGAGGTCGCGACCTGACAATATTTAAACAATTCTTTACAGAAAAGAAACTGTACACAAGACATAAATTAAGCCTTCTAAAGTGAGGCGAAATCGGAAGGAGATGAAAGTATACGTCGCAGTTAAAACGACAGAAGACCGCAGGAAGCAAGATGTTAGGGGGAGGTGATCAATGTGCAGCTTCAAATCCAAAGAGAGGTCAAGTTTCGTGCCGTACATTACCACGTGATGTCGATATACAGATCGGGACTAGTTCGGGATCGGCATCGGGAGCCTAAGGAACGCAGGATGTAAACAAACATGCGGGCCCAAGTGCATGGAGCAAGTGGTCAGTGACCTAAGTGTATCCAGGGACCTGCCACTTGCGGCTTTGCTGCAGCTTTGCTAATTACCACTTCACCTTAAGGTTCTGTCAGCCAGCCGGACTCCCGACTTGTTCTTTGACTGATTTAATGCTTTGATTTCCGATTCCCTATAGCTCACTTGTTGAGCTTCTTATGGCCTAAACCTCGTGCTATACCATTTTGACTGGACGCTTGAATGATGACCTATTGATTTAACGACGACATGCTTCCATCACAGTTAAATGGCTCGCCAAAGCGTGCGAACCCGTTCAGCCGGGTATCCCCATCCCCGTCACCATCGCCGTCTCCTGCGCCCAGAGCTGCACGTCCAAAGTCAGCGCTTATGACACCATCAAGTAAATTCGAGGAGGCGAGAGGGCAGTTCCGAAATTCCACATCTCTGGCACAGCCCACCCAAGCCCCATTTGCTCGCATAACTAGTCGCCAAAGGTCTAACTCTTTGCGAAATGATGTTACGTCAGGGACATTCGCACCCGAGTTCATAAAGTCGGAGGAACTTCAACGTGGAGCAGACCAAATCCGGGGGCTTGAAGGCGATAATGACTTTTCCGGGAATAAATACGTCTGGCTACGTGATCCTGAAAAGGCATTTATACGGGGACTTGTGCTAGAAGAAGGGGATAATGGAAAGCTTCTTGTACAGAGTGACGATGGCGAGGTATGCATCATATCTCTATTGGCATGTCATGGTTGCTTACAATTATCAGCAACGCGAAGTAGATGCGGATCAAGTTGACAAGGTCAACCCGGCGAAATTCGATAAGGCGGACGATATGGCTGAGCTCACTCACCTGAACGAAGGTTCAGTGGTGCATAACCTGCACACTAGATACCAAGCTGATATGATATATGTTAGTATTGTCTATTCTGAGAGCTCTTCGGACGGAACATGCTAACTCTTTGATTCTTAGACTTATTCCGGACTTTTCCTTGTCACAGTAAATCCATACTGCCCGCTACCGATCTACTCCAACGAATATGTGAAAATGTACAAAGGACGGAGCAGAGAGGAAACCCGACCCCATATTTTCGCAATGGCAGATGAGGCATTTCGAAACCTCGTGGAAGAGGGCGAGAACCAGAGTATTCTTGTAACGTATGTTTGTCGGCCAATTCGGCCCGCCAGTGTTCGTGCTAACATGGAGATGAAGGGGAGAATCTGGAGCCGGGAAGACGGAGAATACCAAAAAGGTTATCCAATACCTTGCAGCAGTCGCAACATCTGATACGCCACATGCCCGCTCGGGGACCAAGCAATTGTCTATCCTTTCTCAGCAGATATTACGGGCAAATCCAATACTTGAAGCTTTCGGCAATGCCCAGACAGTGAGAAACAACAATTCGTCCCGCTTCGGCAAATTTATTCGAATAGAATTCACCCGTTCAGGTCAGATTTCTGGCGCATGGATTGACTGGTATCTTTTGGAAAAGTCCCGCGTCGTGAAGCCTAACTCTCAGGAGCGAAACTACCATATCTTTTACCAATTACTGCGGGGTGCAGACCCAGCCTTGAGGGAAAACTTGCTGTTATCTGGTCTTGGGATTGAGGATTTTGCGTATACAAGAGATGGAAACGAGAGCATCATCGGAGTATCAGACGAAGAAGAATGGAACGCGTTAATTGAGGCATTCCATGTAATGGATTTCTCAGAAGACGACCAGGTGCATATTCTTCGCACAATCTCGGCTGTTCTTCATCTAGGAAACGTGGCCATCGTTAAGGAGAGCCTGCGTGCCGATCAGGCGGCCCTAGGTCCTGATGCACTGAACAGCGTGGAAAAGGCATGTCAGTTGCTAGGAATATCTTCAAAGCCTTTTGTGAAAGGCTTACTTCACCCTAGGGTAAAGGCAGGCCGCGAATGGGTGGAGAAGGTCCAAACACCAGAACAGGTCCGACTTGCCCTTGATGCTCTTGCAAAGGGAATCTACGAACGCTCTTTCGGAAACCTTGTCAATCGTATCAATCAACGGCTGGACCGCAGTGCCACCACTGGCGATGACAGTTATTTTATCGGCGTCCTTGATATAGCAGGGTTCGAGATATTTCAGAACAATAGTTTTGAGCAGCTGTGTATCAACTATACCAACGAGAAACTGCAACAGTTCTTTAATCACCACATGTTTGTCTTGGAGCAGGAGGAGTACGCGAAGGAGCAGATTGAATGGCAATTCATTGACTTCGGCAAAGATTTGCAGCCGACAATTGATTTGATTGAGCTCACTAACCCAATTGGTATTTTCTCGTGCTTAGACGAAGATTGTGTCATGCCAAAGGCGACCGACAAATCCTTCACAGAGAAGCTACATTCGCTCTGGGACCGCAAGTCTCCCAAGTATCGTGCCTCCCGATTGAGCCAGGGATTCATCCTCACTCACTATGCCTCTGAGGTAGAGTACGATACCAATGGTTGGCTTGAGAAGAACAAGGACCCACTGAATGACAACGTGACCCGCCTGCTCGCAGCTTCGAGGGATAAGCACGTTGCGAACTTGTTTTCGGACTGCAGGGATCCGGATGATGAGGCCGATTACCCTAAGAGCCGGGTCAAAAAGGGACTATTCCGCACTGTTGCTCAGAGGCACAAGGAACAGTTGTCAAGTTTGATGTCTTCGCTGAACTCAACTCATCCTCATTTCGTTCGATGCATCATTCCCAACCACAAAAAGAGGCCGAAGATGTTCAACGCCCCCCTGGTTCTAGATCAGTTACGATGTAATGGTGTATTGGAGGGAATCAGAATTGCCCGTACGGGATTCCCCAACCGACTATCATTTGCTGAGTTCCGTCAGCGATATGAAGTACTCTGCCGCAATGTGTCCAAAGGTTACTTGGATGGGCAAAGCATTGCTCAAATGATGCTGGACAAGTTAGGAATGGACCCAACCTGGTACCGCGTCGGCCGAACGAAGGTGTTTTTCCGGGCTGGTGTGCTAGCTGAGTTAGAAGAGAAACGAGACGAACTTATTCGTTCCATTATGACACGTTTTCAGTCAATGGCTAGAGGTTTCGTGCAACGTCGTATCTCTAACAAACGCCTGTATCGAGCCGAGGCAACTCGGATCATCCAGCACAATTTTGGGGTCTATCTGAAATTGAAAGCAAATCCCTGGTGGCGGTTGTTTTCGCGAATGAAACCCTTGCTTGGTGAGACACGGACGGCTAACGAAGTCAAAAAGAGAGATGAGAAAATTCACCAATTGGAGACGAAGGCCAAGCAGGATCTTGCAGACCGCCAGAAGCTGGACGAAGAAAGGCGCCGAACAGAGATAGAGATCCAAAAGATCCAACAGACTTTAGAGAGCGAAAGAGCTCTAGCTCTAGACAAGGAGGAGATATTCAAGAGACTTCAGATGCGAGAAGTTGAGCTGAGCGAAAAATTAGCTGGTGCGATTGCGGACCAGGAAAGTCTTGACGACCAATTAGACGAACTGATCGCAGCAAAGAAGAGATGCGATGAGGAACTCCACAAACGGATAACACAACTGGAGCAAGCTGGGGAGATCATACAACGCTTTGAAGCCGAAAAACATGAGATGCAGGCACATCTTGAAGAAATTGACCGGAAATTGTTAGAGGCCGAGCAGGTCTCTACCCACAAAGATGGCAATATCAAGGAACTAGACCAAGAGTTGAAAATGCTGCAGAGCCACCTCGCCTTGAAGGACCAGAAGGTTCATGACCTGGAAGCCAAGCTATTGAAAGTGGACCAGGACCTTGATATTAAACTAGCTAACACATCTAAAGAGCTGGATCAGTCGAAACAGCAAGTCAAGGACTTGGTCGACGAAAACCGCTCGATCCGCCAGCAGATTTCTGATCTGTCCGCAACTTCTACAGGGTATGAGGAGATGCTCAGACGCAAAGAGAGTGAGATGGCTGTTCTGCGAAACGATGTCAGAAAACACGAGGAAGATAAGCAGCAATTAGAAACCGAGAGGGCATCCCTTTCGACTCGCCACGACAACATGCAAAAACGTCTTCGAGAGCTCCAAGCAGAGACGGACGCTATGAGATCAGAGAAGGCTCATCTAGGGAGAGAACTCAGTGATGTCAAAAAGCTCCTCGACGAGAAGATCTCTGAGGATGCAGAAGCTGTGGAGAGCCGAAAGCTTTTGGAGCAACAGATCCATGACCTTAAGGAGCAGTTGTTCCAGGCACAAGCGGACCTCAGTCGAGAGCGTCAATCAAGGGACGATGTTCAAATGCTTGCGGAGCACAATCTCGCTGAGTTACGCGACAAGTACACATCCCTCAATGATTCGAAGATAATCATCGAAAAGGAGATGTATATCCAGCAAGATACACTCCGCCGTGCCACCGAGGCTCGTCTCGCTGCGGAACAATCG